TAATGGGTGACCACTCTTGTCTAATTTTAAGCAGCAGTTCAAGACCTTAGTTTTTTAAGTCATACAGTGTTCTGACAGTTCAGCGGGCAGGTATCTCAAGCATACAACAGGGAATGTTACATACCAGAATAAAGTTATTCTTCAGTGAGAGCTTTACTGACTCACAGGCTTGTAGCAAATAGGTTTGGGGTGTCTCCCCTCTCCTAGTTTCTGCCTTTACTCCTTCTCCAGCCACCTCCCTTGTTGCCCTATGCAAATGGCCCTTTTTCTGTAATCAGTCAGGTAGTGCTAATTTTTATGATCAGGACATTTTTTCAAATGCTGTTTGCAATTCAGTATACAACTTTTTAAACAAACTATGCAAGCATGAAAACATTTTTTAAAAACCTAACATTTATTTCCTCTGAAAGTCAGCTTTTGGCAGAAATGAATAATTAAACTTTAAGAATATCCTTTTCTCCTTTAAATCAGAAAACATCTACTAGCAATCATTTCAGTCTCAAAAACTATACAAGAACTGATTACTTTAAGGGAGGTCGGGAGTTCTGTCACTTTCTTAACAGAGAAATCTGGGTGACATGTGGAAAAAGTATATGATATCTCCCTAAACTTCCTGTATTATATCATATATAGTCTTAACTACTATTAAAAAAAAAAAAATCTAGCTTCCCCAGCCTATCAGTTCCCTTATTTACATTTATCTTTTTTACAATCTCTGTTCAGGTGCAACTTTCTTTACTTGTCTCTGGGACCAGCTTCATTTGTGCCATATCTGAATCAAAATCCTTTCCCTATTTTCATAGTAAGTGGTTGAGAAAAATACATGTCTTGAAAATAAAACTGATTTTCCTTCCACCCTTGTGGGGGGAGTAACTTGAAAAGAGCTAGACATTTACGTTTCCAATTTGCAGCCTACTTTGCTCTTTGTAGCCTGGCACATGTGCAGTAGAATATTTATTAAGTTATGAATTACCCTATTATCCCAGGTGCCCTGCAAAGGCAAATGCAATCACCTCCCTGCTCTGCTGAACACTTGGGCTATTGAACCTCAGGCTGGGTTGAGAGCAAAACTCAGCCTCACGCTTGGAGAAGTCCAGGGGCGGATGGTGGTTCCTCTACTGTCAGACTGTCCCATGGCATCCTTAGCTGATGGCAGACTGGGATAGATGCCAGTAGACTTTTTTGTTCCATTTTCCTTCTTTAACTGGTTTTAAGGCTTTTCATTTGACAGGCAGACAAATATTTGGCAGCTGGGTTAACTGAAGCATAGAAAGAGGCTCTTTGAGTGCTTCATGAAGGTATTTGCAGCAGATAAATGGCTAAAATAAAGTATACGTAAAATTTTCCACATACAGTTAATTTTAAAAATAACCGTTCATTTTCTGTCCCGATTTTCATCTTTGTTCTAGTGGATGAATTCATGAACACAAATGCTAATGCTGCAAAAGTGGATATACAAGTCAAATAATAAGCATCCACTTGACTCCCATTGAATGTACAAATATTTGTGTTATATTGTGTAAAACAGTCTTTGTTTTCTTTGCTGTGGTATGTCTTACCACAGAATTCAGAAGCAACCCAAACATCTTCACACTTACATTTTCATGCTTCCCATCCTAATTCTGTATTGAGGATATGCCCACCTCCAAGTAATATAGTATTTTTATTACTTGAAGATAGTGATGTTGTTACCGCTTTCTTTCTGGGTTGACATAAAGCATAACACTAAAAAAAAAAAAAAAAAAAAAAAAAAAAAAAAAAAAAAAAAAAAAAAAAAAAAAAA